CTCAGTGTCTCTGTCTCTTTCTCCAGCAAGTGCACATGCCCGAAAGCAAAAACCTCTAAAATAAATAAGTGAAACACATAGAAAATATTGAAAATGTGGGAGTCCAGTGCTTTAACCACCTGCTGTACTCCCAAGAAGAAATTCTAAGATCACATTTTTTTATATATACTTTTGTGACTGGCATTTATTTCTCTATCACCTTTACTACTCTTCACAAGAGAGACTTTAACTTAATCTTTTGGTTGTAGAATACAAGCGATAACCTCTCTGAGAGGCGAGTAAAGGCAAGATGGTGTCATGTTCTCTTTTCGTTTTTTGTGTTTTTCATAGTCATACCAACCACATGGAAATGGGGAATGATACAAGAAGTTCGGAATTTCTTCTCCTGGGGTTTTCAGAGGAATCAGAACTGCAGCCCCTCATATTTGGGCTTTTCCTCTCCATGTACCTGATCACTGTGCTCGGAAATCTGCTCATCATCCTGGCCACCATCTCAGACTCCCACCTGCACACCCCCATGTACTTCTTCCTCTCCAACCTGTCCTTTGCTGACATCTGTCTCACCTCCACCATCATCCCAAAGATGCTGGTGAACATCCAGACACAGAGCAAGGTCATCACCTATAAAGCCTGCATCACCCAGATGTACTTTTTTCTACATTTTCTAGGGTTGGACAGCTTCCTCTTGACTGTGATGGCCTATGACCGGTATGTGGCCATCTGTCACCCCCTGCACTACACGGTCATCATGAATCCCCGACTCTGTGGACTGCTGGTTCTGGCATCCTGGATCATGTGTACCCTACATTCCTTGTTACAAAGTTTAATGGTGTTGCGGCTAGCCTTCTGTACGCATTTGAAAATCCCCCACTTTTTCTGTGAACTGAATCAGATCGTCCAACTTGCTTGTTCTAATACCTTCTTTAATGACATGGTGATCTATCTGGCAGCTGTGCTACTGGGTTGTGGATGCCTCGCTGGGATCCTTTACTCTTACTGTAAGATAGTTTCCTCCATCCGTGCAATCTCGTCATCTCGAGGGAAGTATAATGCATTCTCCACCTGTGCCTCTCACCTCTCCGTTGTCTCCTTATTTTATTTTACGGGCCTTGGAGTGTATCTTAGTTCTGCTGCTACCTATAGCTCAGACTCGATTGCAGCAGCTTCAGTGATGTACACTGTGGTCACGCCCATGTTGAACCCCTTCATCTACAGTCTGAGGAATAAAGACATAAAGAGGGCCCTGAGAAGACTCTTGAGAGGGAAACTAGAGAAGGGTCAAGTGTCAAGAGACTAAAGGTGTGCCCCTCATGGTAGAACTTAAAACTCAGATGCACAGGCCAGCAGGTGGCATGGTGGTTAAGGAGCTGGACCCCCGCATGACCGACCGTGATTCTAGTACCAACCCTGGTAACTTGCTTTCTCACTTTCTTTTCTCTTCTCTTCTCTTCTCTTCTCTTCTCTCTCTCTCTCTCTCTCTCTCTCTCTTCTCCCCCCCTGATGAGTGCATGTGTCCTATAGCAAACTTAAATATAATAATAATAATAAAATAGAATATTTTTTAAAAGCTCAGTTGCAGCAGAGGTGATTTCGTGATTATATTGTAGAAGTACAGCTTGTTCCTTTCGCCTGTTTATTTCCTGTCTCCTTCAACTCCTTTACCAAATGTTAGCAATGCCCTTTATTAACCTTTCTGCTGTCTCTCCTATCCAGCAGATTTTCTCTTTTCTCTCTGTCATTTTCCTACATTCCCAAAGTTCTTCTCAACCTAGGATCAGAAACAAGTTGGAGATTCCTGTTTATTTCATGTATTGATGGGTTGCACTACTCCTAGAGGATGAACTGCACTCGGCAAATAAGGCCATTTAAGTTAGATCATTTCAGTAGAGAAGAAATTCAAAGACCGCATTTTTTTCTTTCTATAATTTTAGTAGAGGAGAAATTGTTTTCTGAAAAGAATTATTTATTTAATTTTATTTTTATTATTATTATTATTATTATATTTGCTATAGGGCATGTGTACTCACTAGAGAGAGAGGCAAAAGAGAGACAGAAAGCAGCCATGAGGTCTGGGACTCAAACTGCAGTCAGCCATATGGGAGTCTGATGCCTTAACTACCATGCCACCTGCTGTCCTCCCAAGAAGAAATTCTAAGGTCACTTTTTTTATATATATTTTTGTGACTGGTATTCATTTCTCTATCACCTTTACTACTCTTCACAAGAGAGACGTTAACTTTTTATGGCTAGTCATGGGATTCTATACCCCCATTAGATATTGTTCGCCTATTCAGTGTCCACAGTGTCTAGCATATTTCTTTTTTTTTTTAGAGAGAGGTTTTCGCTATAGGGTATGTGCTTTCGCCAGAAAGACAGAGAGACAGAGAGATAGAAAGGAAGAAATCACCCCCCAGGGGGGATGGCCACGCCACAATCCCTTCTCCTCCATTCTCCTCTCAGGATCTTGGGCACACCCGCATATGCACCCGGCATGAGTTTAAGCCGCCGGGTCCGGGACTTGAACCACAGTCGACTACATGGGAATCCAGCGATATAACCATTACGCCAACTGATGGTCCCTCTAGCTTATTTCTGAGACAGAGAACTTAGGCAAGAATAGCTTATCAGATACATGTTTCAAGTGTAGTCCACCCAAGAAGACATATTTGCATAAGTCAATCATGATGACCTTAAATAAGATACTACAAAATTTTCAACGGTACATTTCAGTACTATGGAAGATTTGTTTTGGAGACTAGACATCACTCATTGCAATATGGAAGTTTCATGGTTCTGGGTAACAGGTTTGTTCACTGAAGATGTTTTTTCCTTTTTTTTTTCATTTTATTCCACACATTCAATCACATTATTATTTGTCTTACAAAATGGATATTTCAACAGGTAGGTTCACTGAAGATTTAATGTCGTTTTCTGTCTTATTTCATTATATCTTGCTGTTTCTGTTTCATAACTCTAACACGCATATAACTATTTACATTACCCCAAAACATTTTGTCTCCCTTTAATAAATTTTGTTTTAAACATTAAAATACAGGTGTGTGAATCATAAGTGTATTTATTCTATTGACAATTTTTTTTATTTCTTTCATAATTTTAACTCTCTTGGGTGGCTAGACAATGGCGTAGCCATGAAATGCAACACTCTGTAAGCTGATCCACATGGGAGGGTTCTGGGTTTGTGTCCAGAGACCTCTCTGAGGACACTAGGCACATGAGTGGGGATATGCAGTGCTGTTCCTACATTGTACGTTCAACAGTAAAGACACGATCCAGGCTGGCTGGGGCTGAGGGTGGACTGCAGTGTCAAGATTCTGTCAGGAGAGCTATCTCTCTGTCTTTCTCTCCCTCTAGTTCTCTTGTTTATAAGAAAAATAAATTTTAAAAAATTAAATTTAAATAAGCTCCATTTATGCCTCACTAATTTTAAATAATTGTTTATTTTATTAATTATTGTTATTATTCAGTTTTACCAGAGAGTGACAGAGACACAAAGGGAGTCTAGCACCTCAACCACCATGCTACCTGCTGGCCCCTATTCCTCACTATTAAAGGTGACATAAAAAAGCTCAAATTCCTGGGACCAGTAGATGATGTAATTATTATGTCACTAGACTCCCATTCAGTCAACCACGGTTCGAGTCCCAGACCCAGCGGCTCAAAATTCACACTAGGCATGCATGCATGCATACCCAAAATCCCAAGAGAATGGAGGAGAAGGGATTGCAGCATAGTCAACTCCCTGGGGTGGGGGAGGTGGGGGTTCTTGCTTTCTGTCTATTTCTTTCTGTCTCTCTGGCAAGCGCATGCAGCCTATAGCAAAAATTTCTCTAAAAAAAAAAAAAATTCAAATTTCTGCCCAATACTGCTTCTGGGAATGGAAGTTTTTGCTATACCCAAAAAAATATACATGTCCTTCCAACCCCTGGGAGGGAACCTCAATTGTACTGTCTTTTTAATACTGTTATCTGTATACAAAAATATAGATTACCAGGTCATTATGAATGCTGTCTTTATATATCACAACAAATTCCAGAAACATAGCAAGCAACAGATTATTTTCAATGTCCTCAGTTCTCCTTGCACCGATCATTGTATCAGTAAGCTATTGCTGCATAACAAATCTACCCAAAAGCAAATGCTTTCAAACAATGCTTTTTGTTTTATTACATGGGAGTGTATGTTGGAGGAGTCTGCTGGTCTCTGCTGGTCTTCTCTTTGGTCAACTGTGAGTCACTTGGAGTTGCTCTACAGGGTTGTCCAAGTTCTCTCAAATGAGGGACTGTTTGCTAGGGTGGCCGTGGTTGAAACAACTGTTATATGCTCCTCATATCCTCTTCTGCTACAGCCTGGACTTATTCACATGAAAAAGTTAGAGTTACGAAAGAGATCAGCAGAAACACATCAAGGCTCCTTGAGGCACACTGTCATTTCCATCATATTCTATTAGCCAAACAAGTATCAAATCCTAAATTCAGCACAGATTCAAAGGTGGATAATAGACTCCACCAAAATATTTAGATACAGAGAAAGGTGACAAATTGGAACTACTTCTGCAAATGGTCTACCACAAGTATAAATTTCAAATCAATCATTTCTTTTTGGTTTTTCTTTTTCTTTTTTTTTTTATTTGCTTATATGGCACATGCATTACCAGAGAGAGAAAGAGAGGGAAAGTGAGAAAATACCCCCCAGGGGGATGACTACATTGCAATCACTTCTCTTTTCTCCTCTTGGAATTTTGGCATGCACACACATGTGTTTCATGTGATTTCTCTGGGTCCAGGACTCAAACCGTGGAGTTGGCCTTGTGGGATCCAGTGCCTTAATTACCACACCACTTGCTGACCCCATACCTTCTTCTTTACATTAAGAAGATGTTTTATTCTAATATAATATTCATATATAAAATTCATCGTACATATTCAACTCAATAAATTTTCATAAAATGAATACACCTGTAAAACCTTAATCCTAGAAACTCCTTCGGCTCTGCTACCTTCTAGACACTCACCACCCTGGTAATCATTATTCCAACTCTAACATAATATATTAGTTTTGCATGTGTATGTGCTTTTTCTATTTTTTTAACAATGCAAATTCCATAATGTTTATTTAACTTCTTCAATGAATTGGCAATTAATTTGGTAATATAATTGTACATACGTATGTTTTTAAATTAGTGCTAAAAATGATAGAACAGCGCCTATCACAAGGAAGACATTCTATTATTACCTGTTGGATTAATTTTAAAATTACTTAATTGTGTACTTCATTAGCATCTTCTTTATTTATTTTATAGTTGGTCAATCATTGTACATCTCTACAGCACACAGTATGTTTTCCAAGGTATGCTTGCAGGAATGACAGTCAAATCAAGGACATTATCATAAGCATGATTTTCAACAGAGAACTTTACAATCTTCTATCTGATAAGAGCCCTGGCCTTCCCAGCCACCCTCTTCTATCCACTCCTTTCCATTTCAGCTCCTGGTGTCTATGCTTGTCCTCACATCTCAGTTTGTTTGTTTTCACATTTTAAAAATAACCTTTATTGGATCAGTAAATGGCATAGTGGTTATGTTGCTGGACTCCCAGTTCGTAGACTGTGGTTCAAGTCACAGACTCAGTGGCTTGAAATTTGTGCCAGGCATGTGATAGTGCATGCCCAAAATCCAGAGAGGAGAATGAAGAAGAGATTGTAGCATGGCCAGCCCCCCCCCCCCCGGGGGTGATTTCTCACTTTCCCTCTCTCTGTCTCTCTCTCTCTCTCCTGGCTAGCTCATGTGTCTTATAGGAGGGAAAAAAAAAAAAAGCTCTCTAAAATAGCAAATAAATAAATAAATAACATTTATTTTTTAATCGCCCCCCTTGCTCTTATGCCTTCTACTCTTTCAGTTTCTGCTGTAGAGTACAGACATTGTGTATATACTGAGCAGGGATATACCGTGTTTGTCCCTACATTGCACCTTCAACAATAAAGACTGAAGTTGTGGCAAAATCATTAGAACACTTTCAGTTGGTTTTGGATGTGGTTCTTGTCCATGACTCCAAGTTTTTCAGGATTCTTGGGATTCCCAGAATCCTGAAAAACTCTGCCTGTTCATGCCTAGATAGACAAAGAAATTCTACTTCCAATATTGAGTGTATGCTCATAGGAAAGGACAATGAACAATGAAGGTCATCCAGGGAGAAAAAAAAGCAAAGGACCCTGTAAGAAATGATGCTCATATCTGGCATCCAAAATGTTCCTAGGATTACAAAACTAGTGGGAAAGAAGTTCTTTTCTATTTTGGATCCTTCACTCATGGGAATCTAATTGCTCAGAGAATACAGTAGCAATGGAACAATTAATTTAATGAGCATTCATGAGAATTCAAACTCGAGGCTCCCAAAATAGTAGGTATGCTCTTCACTTCTCTCATTTACAGCTCAGCTGTCTCAGGAAGGAGGAGTTCTACTGTTCCCTCACAGAGGACTTATGCCTGAAGCCATCTTCCTTTCCTTCTTTGGAGCTGAGTTGCATCATCCAAGTAAGAAAGAACTCAGAAACTGGAGACTCCATGATTCCACTGGAGCACTAATGTGGCAAACAGGTATGGAGGCAGGCAGAGCTCTCAAAGGATCCACTTTTGTGTTATAATACAATAAAGAAAGATTATTCCCTTAAAGCGTTCTACACAATCAACCCCTCTCTCTCTCTTTGCTTCTCTTCCTCTCAACTCACTTCTCTCTCTTTCTGGAACCCAACTCTAAGGATATTTCACCTTCCTAATAGAAATGGACCTTCTCTAAGCCTCCTGCATTTCTCAAGACTTTTTTTATCCAGCCATTGTAGCCATATTCCTAGATCTATTACCAGGGCTTGCCATCTCTTTTCACAAAGATCCTCCTGTTTGTTTTTTCTTTGTTTTGTTGTTGTTGTTTGCTATAGGGCATAGGCACTCAATGGAAAAAGACAAAGAAAAACTGAGAAGTCACTCTCACTCTTAGGGAGTATGGCTATACCACAATTCCTTGTCTTCCATTCTCCTCTCAAGATTTGGGGGATGCACGCACACATACCCAGTGTGATTTTCAAGCCACCAGATTCGGGACTCAAACGGTGGTCAGCCACATGGGTATTCAGAGCCTTACCCACCACATCACCTGCTGACCCTGACTCTGTATTCTCTTATCTATCATATCATACTCATTCACTCACTCATTTATTCATTCACTCAAAAAACATCCCCTGAGAGTTTGCATAGTCAGTCCTTACAAGCCCATTCATACACATTCTACATTAGATGACTTAATGTGTCTGGTCTTAGTGTCCATGTTTATGAAATGGGGAATAATACAGTAGTCAAGTCTTAGGGTTAATGTGGGGATTATAAGATATCACGCATGGAAAGTTTTTAAATAGTTTAAATAATTTCTAACACTCCACAAGCACCTATTCATCTTAGTTATTATCGTTGCTCTAAATGACTTTGCATTTATTGACTCAAAAAAATCTTGATGGTAAAATGAGATAAAGAATATAAAACGCAGCAGAAGTGGTTGACACATGATGTCCTTAATGCTATTACTCCTGCCATTATTATTCTTGCTATTATTATTCTCATTTGCCGAGTATTTACAAATGTCCAGTCCTGTTTCAGAAGTTTTATATTTTTGTTAGTATTTTAAATCATTGCAATCTTGTTTCTAAGAGATTCGACTCTATGTGGGCATGATACTCATTTTTTCTCTCATACTTTTTTTTTTTAATTTTTAGTTTTTGAATCATTTGCATTTACCAAAAAAAGTAACAAAGAAAAGACAAAGAATTCCCATAGTGATAAAAAATATTTAGAACTTGGGCCATGCAGTGTGGTGATTGAGGCAGCTGGATCCCACATGGCCAACTGTGCATTTCGAGCCCCAACCCAGCAGCTTGAGAAATACACTAGCTGCATCTGTGCATGTGTGCCCCAAATCCCAAGAGGAGAATGGAGAAGGGGTTGCAGTGTAGCCATCCCCACTAGAGGGTGCTTTCTCACTTCCTCTCTTGCTTTCTTTCTCTGTCAAGTGCATGTACCCTACAGCAAATATTTTTAAGATTGGAACTTGATAAACTTGATGGTTGCAGAACATTCTGAATCTACTACATGCTACTGAATGTCATCTTAGAATGGCTGCCACTGGGACCAGCAGATGGAATAATGGTTACGTTGCTGGACTCCCACGTAGTTGACCACAGTTCAAGTCCCTGACCCGGTGGCTTTAAATATGCTGGACACATATGTGTGCATGCCCAAAATTCCAAAAAGAGAATGGAGGAAAAGGGACTATGGTGTGGCCGTCCCCCCTGGGGGCGGGGGGGGGGGGGAATGATTTCTTGCTTTCTGTCTCTCAGTCTCTCTCTGTCTCTCCAGCAAGCGCAAATGCCCTATATCAAAATTCTCTCAAAAAATTAAAAAAAAAAAAAAGAAGAAGAAGGGATTCAAGCCCCAGACCTGGAGTCTCTCTCTCTCTCTCTCTCCCTCGTTTCTCTCTGATGAGCACACATGCCCTAAAGAAAATTAAATAATAATAATAAAGAAAATTAAATAAATAATTCTTTTTAAAATTAGCATTTTAAAGTATTATAGAACTGTGGGGCTGGCAGATGGCATGGTGGTGGTTAAGGGATTCGATCACAGTTCAAATACCAGACCTGGCGGCTTTCTCTCTCTCTCTCTCCTTCTCTCTCTCTCTCTCTCTCTCTTTTTCTCTCTTCCCCCAATCAAGTTAAAAAAACAAATAAATAAAGTTAAATAAAAGAATACTTTTTTAAAAAAAGTATTATAGAATTACTTTGTCTTACCAATATATTTAAATTTTGAAGATTTTCTTTCTTGAGAGTAGATTACATGTGCATTCTACTGCAGTTTTTGAATTATATACTAAAAAATTAATATAAAAATCAAGACTGATGATACAACTCAGAGATGATCCCTATTCTGATTTTAGCATATCCTGTTGTACATCATTTTTTCTATTAAAAATGCATGTAGGATAGGGAATCAAGCATGAGAAAAAAAGCAAAATATACAAGAAATGAGAAATGGAAAATTATTTGTTGACAATAACACGTGTGTTGATGTGCTTGATTGAGCCAATATACAGTGTATACTGGATGGAAAATCTCATTTTGTATGCTATAATGATGTATAGTAAATAAATGTAAATAAATAAATTTAAATAGAAAAAAACAGAAAAAATGCATGTAATTATAAAAGTTCTATATACTGATTTAATTTCTCCAGCTCTAAAAAGGAGACCAACTTTTTTATAGCAGTATCTGAAATGTTATTCTTCTTCCCACGTGACATAGTTTTGCATCCTTATCCTGTAATCTATGATAGAAATGGAAAGGTTCGAAGATATAAAACAGGAAGATCAAATGCAAATAGCAGAGACTGTGTAAGAAACAACGAATACCAGGGGGTGGGAAGGAAAGGCTCAGGAAAAAAAAAAAAAATTAACAGACACAAAATGAAATTTCTCTGTTGAAAATGACATAGATGGGAGGACCAGCAGATGGCATAATGGTTACATCACTGGACTCCCACGTAGTCAGGCAACTGCAGTTGGAGTCCCAGACCCAACAACTCAAAACTCACGCCGGGGAGGTGTGCGTGTGTGCCCAAGATCCCGAGAGGAGGATGGAGGAGAAAATATTGTGGCGTGGCCATCCCCCCTTGGCGGGGGTGATTTCTCGCTTTCTGTCTCTCAGTCTCTCTTAAGTCTCTCCAGCAAGCGCACAGGCCCTATAGCAAAAATCTCTCTTTAAAAACAAAAGAAAGAAAATGTTGTATATGGTAATGCCTTTGACTTGATTGACATGCACTACATTCATTCTTTGAAAAACCATATTGTATGCTGTAAAGATGTATAATGATTAAATGTAAAAATTTAAATAATTAAAAGTTAAAAATATATATTGCAGTCATTCTTAGTAATACCGATTGGGAGTAAATTTTGTGGGGTTTTTTGTTTTTTTGTTTTTTCTTCCTTCTGGGCAAACCCAGTAGCCTCATGGGAAGAGGAAATCAAACAGAAATTGGAGACTTTCTCCTCCTGGGATTCACAGAGGACTCTGAGCTTCAGTCCTTCCTCTTTGGGCTCTTCCTCTCCATGTACCTGATCACTGTGTGTGGAAACCTGCTCATCATCCTGGCCACCATCTCAGACTCCCACCTGCACACCCCCATGTACTTCTTCCTCTCCAACCTGTCCTTTGTGGACATCTGTTTCACCTCCACCACCATCCCAAAGATGCTGGTGAACATCCAGACACAGAGCAAGGTCATCACCTATGCAGGCTGCATCAGCCAGGTCTTTTTTTTCTTTGTGTTTGGATGCCTGGACAATTTACTCCTAACCGTGATGGCCTATGACCGTTTTGTGGCCATCTGCCACCCCCTACACTACACAGTCATCATGAACCCCAAGCTCTGTAGGCTGCTGGCTCTGGGATCCTGGTGCCTTAGTGTCATGGGCTCCCTACTAGAGACCTTGACCGTTTCTAGACTGTCCTTCTGCACCATCGTGAAAATTCCCCACTTTTTTTGTGATCTTCCCGAAGTCCTGAAGCTTGCCTGTTCTGACATCCTCATCAGTAATATAGTGGTGTATTCTGTGGCCATTGTCCTTGGTGTTTTCCCTCTCTCTGGGATCCTCTTCTCTTATTCTCAGATTTTCTCCTCCATCCTGAAAATTTCACCAGCTGGGGGCAAGTACAGAGCCTTCTCCACCTGTGGGTCTCACCTCTTGGTGGTGTCTCTGTTCTATGACACAGGCCTGGGGGTCTACCTCAGTTCTATAGCCACAGCATCTTCTAGGATGAATATGATGGCCTCAGTGATGTACACCATGGTCACCCCCATGCTGAACCCCTTCATCTACAGCCTGAGGAACAGGGACATGAAGAGGGCCCTGAGGAGACTCTTTAGCAGGGGGCGCCTCTCAGCGATAGAGTGGTTGAGGGACTCTCAAGAACAGCAATAGGCACAAGGCTGAGATTCAGAAGGCCTGTCCTCCTTCACTCAATATTTTCACTGCTTCTACTTGTGTGAATTTTAAAGCAACTTTCCTGGAAGAACAAATGGCCAGTAAGTATATGAAAGAAAAATGCTCCATCATTAATCATCTCAGAAATGCAAATCACAACTATGAGATATCACTTAATCCCAATTAGAATGGCCATTATCAGAAAGACAAAAGACAAAACAACCACTGGGGAGGATGTGGAAAAGGAACTGTTGGGTGATGGTATATGGTCATGGCTGACTGTGGTTTTAGTCCTGGACCTGGCAGCTTACATTCTTACATTCTCACTCTCTCTCTCCTCTATCATCTCTCCAGTGAGCATATGTGCCCTATAACAAATTAAATAATAATAACAATAAATTTAATTTTTAAAAGGAACCCTTGTACACTGTTGGTGGGAATGTAAATTAGTACAGTCATATGGAAGACAGTATGGAGGTTCCTCAAGAGTTAAAAAATATGGGGCCAGCAGATGGCACAACACTTATGTTGCTGGACTCCCACATGACCAACCACAGTTCGAGTTTCAGACTCAGTGGCTTGAAAACCACACCAAGACTCCCACATGACCAACCACAGTTCGAGTTTCAGACTCAGTGGCTTGAAAACCACACCAAGACTCCCACATGACCAACCACAGTTTGAGTCTCAGACTCAGTGGCTTGAAAACCACACCAAGTGCACGTGCGTGTGCCGAAGATCCTGAGAGAAGAATGGAGGAGAAGAAATTACTGTGTTACTTTTTCCCTGGGTTGGGGGGGTGGGGATTTCTCACTTTCCCTCTCACTTTCTCTGTTTCTTTCTCTCATTGGAGAGCACAAGTCCCCTAAGGGAAAAGCCTCTGAAAATTTTTAAATTAAAAATATGTTCCTCCACTTTCTGATTGCTTGCTAAGTGAAGCAAATCAGACTATTAAAGACAAACATTGTATATCCTTACTCAATATATACCAAATGTCTACTCTCTATGACAGAAATTGAAAGATTTAAAGATATAATAGCTGAGAGGGAAAGTGCAGATACCAGAGACTGTATTTCTGGTGGTAGATAGGAGGGGTGGGGAGGGGTTTGAGAAACAAAAAAAGTTAACAGATACAAGAATGTATAATATATATATATATATATATATATATATACACACATACATATATATATATAGTCATATCTTTGAATTGAGACATGCACTGCATGCATGCTTTGAAAACCATATTGTGTGCTATAAAAATGTACAATAATTAAATGTAATGTCCCCCAGGGAATAAATCTGTCTCAGTTTATTCTCTAAAACTGAAATTTATAAAGAAATAAGATTGGAGACGTTTTCAAGGGATATATACACACATACATATATATATATAGTCATATCTTTGAATTGAGACATGCACTGCATGCATGCTTTGAAAACCATATTGTGTGCTATAAAAATGTACAATAATTAAATGTAATGTCCCCCAGGGAATAAATCTGTCTCAGTTTATTCTCTAAAACTGAAATTTATAAAGAAATAAGATTGGAGACGTTTTCAAGGGTTGGAAGATAGAACATCACTTGTCATGCTCTTCTCTCATTAAAAGCCTTTTGGGCATACAGACCTTTGACCATGGAGTGGGGCACAATGGTACCAAAGGCTGAAATACTGATTTGATACTGGATCCCAGAAAAAGTCCCTCAGGGTCAAATAAGGAGTAGAATGTTTTCTAAATGGTGGCGCCTCCTACCTTTCCACTTTTTCAGACTTTGGCCATAAATGTCTCTCATTGGTGACCACAAATTGATCATAGAAGATCTGGAACCTTCCTCCCACATGTTCTGAGTTGCTTGTGCCCAAGGATTCTCTTAGAATCCTAAAGAATGGGGGAAGGGAAGGTGGTATAAACTTCTCAACTGAAGGCATAGTTGGCAAATATATTCTCCCATTCTGAGGGTTGCCTCCTCCCTCAATTATTCCTTTTGCTGTGCAGAAGCTTTTTAGCCTGAGGTAGCCCCACTTGTCTGCTTTGGTGATTACTGCCTCTGTCGTAGGGGTCTTATTTATGAAGTTTTTGTCTACCCTAATGTCTCCAAGAGTTTCCTGTGTTTCCCACCAGTTGCTTTATAGTTTGAGGTTTTATATTTAGATCTTTGATCCATATTGCAAACACTGAAAGATTGGCAGGTATAATAACAGGAAGGGTAACTGAAGATAACAGAGGCAATATAGGAGGGGGCGAGTAATGGGGTATAAGGGAGGGGATTGGGAGGGAAATATTTAACAGAAACAAAAATGAAGTTATCTATTAATGATACATATATGGTAACATCTATGACTTGACTAATATGCGATGTATTCATGCTGGGAAAACCCATTCTGTACATTGCAAAGATGTACAATGATTAAATGTAAATTTTAAAAATACCAAAAAAATAAATAAAACCTCAACTTGAATTTTCCTCCCCTCTTGGAAATGGGTGCTCACATGAAGCTTTATTTGATATAGAAAGTATTGTCCTTCTTCCTGGACAAAGGATCATAGAGTATAGCTGAGAGTCATGGTGCTCTGTTTGTTCAGTCATGTTTTCTCCAAACTTTCAATGTCACATCCGGTTCTTTGGGTTGCATCAAAATATTTTGGTGTCCACCCTTGTGTGTAGTAGATGCAGTACCTCTTGAGGTCACCAGAAGGCAGAAGAACCAATCAGCCTCAAAATGAAGAGTTGGGACTACCAGACCCAGCTACCACTTCCATGGGAAGTTGCTTCCTCCATTTCCCACCTTGGAATATGTGTAAAGATATTGGTTGGGGTGCACAAAGTCTGCACATCCCAAAGGCAGAAGTGGCTTTTGACCAGCTCCTGGGAGATGACTTCTGAGCCCATGGAATGACTAAATGTCTGGAGGGACTTTGGGTCACAACAAATCACCTTGATCACAATATTATCTATGGTGAATATATTTGTTCACTGAGCATCCTGGACTTGGCTATCAAATCAACCTTGAAAGGACTGAAGAATGAATAAGGTCAGCAGTGTTCCATGCCTATGTAACAGAGCCCCAATAAAAACTCTGGGCACTAGGGCTCAGGTGAGCTTTCCCAGTTGGCAATACTTCATTTGTGCTGTTATGTGTCATTGCTGTGAGAAGCAAGTGCTGTCCATAACTCCACCTGGAGGGAACTGGAAAAACTCACATCTGCTCTCTCCTGGACTCTGCCCCATGCACCTTATATGCCTTTGTTGATCTTCACCAGTGCTTTTCACTGTACAAACTATAACTATGGGCGTCATAGCTTATCTGAGTTCTCTGAGTCTTTCTAGTGAATCAATAAACCTGGAACTGAGCTTAGAGGGTGCCTGAAACACCTTGGTTTCTATTTGTTTTGTTTTGTTTTGAGAGATTGTTTGCTATAGGATGTGTGTGCCCACCAGAGAGACATAGAGACAGAAAGCGAGAAATCACCCCCCAGGGGGGATGGTCACGCCGCAATTCCTTCTCCTCCATTCTCCTCTCGGGATCTTGGGCACGCACACACACACACACCTAGAGGGAGTTGCCAGCCACTGGGTCCGGGACTCAAACTGCAGTCGACTACATGGAAGTCTAATGACATAACCATTATGCCATCTGCTGGTTCTGTGGCTTCTGTTTTATTATAAGAAGTAGTGGCTTTTCTTTGCCCTCTTCAGTTCTGTCACTTCTTGAGAAAATAAGGGATGTAGGTCCAGCAGGTGATGTGGTGATTAAGGTGTTGGACTCCCGCATGGCAGACCTCAACCCAGAGGCTTGAAACTCACAGCAGATGCATGTGCTTGAATGCTCAAACTCCCAAAAGGAGAATGGAGAAGGGATTGTGGCATGGCCATCCCCCCTGGGGAGTGATTTCTCACTTTCTCTCTTTCTGTCTCTCTGGTAAGCATACCCACCCTATAGCAAAAATCTCTCTAATACGATGAATCAATATGGGGCCAGCAGATGGCATGGCAGTTACTTCACTGGACTCCCATGTAGTCAATCTTGGTTCAAGTCCCAGACCTAGCAGCTTCAAACTTATACCCAGCATGTGTGCATACGTGTCCAAAATCCCAAGAGGAGAATGGAGGAGAAAGGACTGTGGCATGGCCATCCTCCCTGGGGGGAGATTTCTCGCTGTCTCTCTGTCTATCTCACAAGTGCACATATCCTATAGCAAAAAAAATAAATAAATAACTCTCAAAAAAAATAAAAATAAATAAGAAACGTGAGTCAACTCCTCTTCTTTTTTAACTCAAAGCAGGAGACATTTTTCATCCCCTTCTTTGCTCACCACTCTCTTTCAAGTTCTCGACATATGCTTAGAGAGGAACAGAGACCTTGAATACCTTTCATTCCTGTTCCTTTATCTCAGTTTTCCCCCCAAACAAGCCAAACAGAACATGAGTGTGTGTTCAGCCCATGGTCAGTTGGGAAGAAGATTGTCCCCAGGACTCCCCTCCCCTGCCCTTTTTCCTCCTTTCCAGGTGACAGAGCTGGGGATAGAGGATCCTCACATAGCACTCTCATTGCCCCCTCGGCCCCTGGACGCTCCCTTTTCTTGTGTCATAAGGGACTTGTAGGGTTTCCCCAGGCTGGGGAGGGTGAGCTCTGCTTCTTGCAGCTCCAGTTCCCTCTGAGACAGATGCTCAATGACAGCCGCTCCAATCGAGTCCCCGAGCACATTCGTCATCGTACGAAGCCGGTCACTGGAGGAGGAGAGGGAGAAGCTTCCATTAGCAGGGGCTCGAAGAGCCTCACAGAGGACAGTGCAACAGTTTGGGCCCCTTGTGCCAGAGAGTTAGTTGGAGCTTATGTCCCAATCCAATCTACAACTCATTCAGGTCCCTCTCCTCTCTGCCCTCAGTTTCCCCTCTTATCCAACTCAGGTTGGACCAGCTCTGAGATGTTCATAGTTGACCTTAACAATGGTTTGTTTTTTTTTTTTAAAGAATGTGAATATCTGATACAGACAACTGACACACATGATCTGAAATGCAAAAAAAGGGCCAGTAGATGGCACGAAGGTTAAGGCAACTGGATCTCACACGATCAACTACACAGTTCAAGTCCCAGATCTGGCAGCTTGAAGAACACACCAGGCACATGTGCACATGTTCCCAAAATCCTGAGGAAGATGGAGAAGGAACTGTGGCGTGGCCAACCCCCCAAGGGGTGCTTTCTCCCTTTCCTTCTTTCCCCCTCTCTCTCTCTCTCTCTCACTCTCTGTCTCAGGTGAATGCACATGCTCTATAGTCAAAATAATTTAAGAATCATTTATTTACTTAATTATATTTGATATTTAATTTGAGAGAGAGAGAGAGAGAAAGGGAAAGCCAGCCACCATGTGTGCATATACACATGTACATATGTATACACATACTTGTGCATGTGTGTATACATGTGCGTGTGTGCATACATGCACACACCCTTATATCCATATACATGCATGTGCATATGTTCGTGCATATGGACATGTATACATGTGTGTGTGCTTGTGTGCATGTGTGCACATATAAGCATATAGACACATGTACATGTACACCTTCACATATACATATATATACACCTGTATACATGTGTGTATGTATGTACATGCATGTGTGTACACATGTGTGAGTACATGTGTGTACTAGCGAGACAAATCTGTTTCATAAATTGCCTCTCGGTGACTTCAACATATAACAGGGAAAAGGGGAGCTGCTCTGGCTGGTGGGGAAAAGGTCAGCTTCCTCCCTTCATCAAGGACCACTCTGGAACTTGAAGTCCACAGACCACGGCTCGGAGTACTCTCCAGGGCTCTCCTTTCACACTAACTCTAAAACTCTGCTGGACTTGCTGAAAGGAAGGCCCGGGGTGGAGACCCTGCAGGGGCTGCAGCATGTGGGGGGCAGACGGCAGCAGGGTCCAGCCTGGAGAACACTCACAGGAACCAGTCCACTGCTATGATCAGCGTGATGTCCTCCGTGGGCAGGCCGACCGACGTGAGCACAATGACCATGGTGACCAGCCCCGCCTGGGGGATGCCGGCAGCCCCAACGCTGGCTGCTGTGGCTGTGATGCTGCGAGGGGAGAAAGGACACGGGGGGGGGATGAGGAAAAGACCAAGAAGGGACCTACAGGGAAGGGTTAGCTCCTTAATGCATCTTAAATGATATTCCCAAACCAGACACAAAAAGAAAAACACTGCATGATCTCTCTTATGTGCGGAATCTTTAACAACAAAAAAAGCCACCTATGGTGGTGGAGGTAACAGAATGCTTCATGATGTTGAAGCCACATGGGGTCCTGGGTTCACATCCCAGAGCCTCCTTGTATACACATCAGACACTCAGATGTCCATGGTCGTGGCTGGCTGAGGCTGGGTGTGGATTGCGGCCTGAAGACCCTGTTGGGGGGACCAGCAGTTAGCATAATGGCTATGTTGCTGGACTCCCATTTAGTC